GTTTGCTGACCCTTTGAGGGGTCTCACACCCCAGGGCCTGCCTGGCCTCACAGCCCTCCTAAAGGTTTAACGTTGACACTTCTAAACGAGTGAATGCCACTATGGGTGCCATCTTGCCCAGTGACCAACAGACTAAATGCCTAAGCTTCCATTAGTGCTCCATCCAGACACAGGATATAAGATAAAACAAGTGTCCTAGATACAACACTGACCACTAGTCTCCTTTCAATGGACATCTGCCACTTCTTCCTTAATAATATGAAACCCAGTTTTAACTGGAGGCTCTACCAAAAAGCTCAAAGACTACACTTCCCAGCCTGCCTTGCAGCCTTCCAGGGCCAGGCCCCTCAGGCAATGCAATGAAGAGGAGGGTACAGGAGCAGAGAAGGGGCTTGAGGGTCCTGGAGCCACCCTTTCAGCCCAGTTGGGAGAACATGGATCACGCGGAGTCTGGGACGCTCACAATGAGACAAAAGATGTAGGAAGGCCCCTGAGAACAAGACTGAAAGTGCCATTTGCAGTTTGCCATGTGTGTGGCAGGGCCTGAATCCCACCTCAGGCCTGCCCTCTGAGGCCATAAGTTATAGGAGGAGGAGCCCAGGCATGAAGCATCAGGCAGGCCTGACTTGAATTCCAGCTCTGACACTGAACCAGGGATCTCTCCCACTCTGGACCTGTCTGTGCATCTGTAAAATAAAAATGACACCTCTGTGCCTTGCACACAAACAGAGGTGCTGAGGGAAGGAGGCTTAACCTGGATTGGGTGTGTGGTCCCTGCAGGGACAACACCGCCTCTCTCCCCCTGGCTGGCACCACCTGCTGGTCTCCCTCGCCACCTCCGGGATCTCAAGGATTTCAGCTGCATTTCCACAAAGACTCAGCACACACTGGGCTCAGTGCTGCCCTCAGAAATGCCACAGGATACCTCTGCTTGACCTGGCTGCCAAAAAGATGGCACTGAGAGTCCAGTGTTGTGGTGCAGCAGGTTAAGCCACCACCTGTGACGCCGGCATCCCATAGGAGCACCAGTTCGAGTCCCAGCTGTCCCACTGGCAATCCAGCTGATGTGCCTGGGAAAGCAGCAGCAGATGACTCAAGTGCTTGGGCCCCTGCACCCATGTGGAAGATGCAGATGGAGTTCCTGGCTATTAGCTATTGATGTACAACCATTTGGGCAGACAACCAGAGGATGGAAGATCTCTCTCTCTCTCTCTTTCTCTCTCTCAATCTCTCTGTAACTCCATCTTTCAAGTAAATCTGTTTTTAAAATGACACCTAAGCCACACCCAACCACATCCAGGCTGCACCCAGACACCCAGTCCCAGGCCTCTCTGTATTCCCCTGGCCCAAAATGACGAGAGGTAATGAGAGGGACATGGCAAGAGGAGCCATGCATCATGGCCTCTGGTGCACAGCCCTCGAATTTAAATATTCTGCCCAAATAAGACTAAATATACACAGGTGTAGAGAAACATGGGCAGGAACAACAACAACAACAGCAAAACATTTGTCCCCAATTTTAAACTTTGTCCCATCATTACACACCACAGGGCACACAGCACACTGGAGAATAAATGTACATAGTCGATATTAATTCTTGTAGTATCTGAGACGTGGCACAATCAATCACACCACACAAAGTGTTGTGTTATATATAAACTGTTATGCTATTTATTTATTTATTTCAGAGGCAGAGAGGCAGGGGGAGAGAGAGAAAGAGCACTCCCATCTACTTGTTCACTCCCCAAATATCCACAAGAGTTAGGCCTGGGCCAGGTCAACATCTAGGAGTGGGAACTCCATCCAGGCCTCCTATCACCGCTACCTCCCAGGGTCTGCATTGCAGAAAGCTGGAATCAACCCCAGGCACTCCAACATGGAATGCTGGTGTCTTAACTGGCATCTTCATCCTAGGCCGAATTCCTACTGCAGTTTGGTCATTAAATGTTGGTATCTCCCACTGACTACCCCTCCAGTCACCCTGTCCCAACTTTTTTTTTTTTTTTACAGACAAGAGATGCAGTCCAAAAAGGAGGTATCAGTGATACCCTTTAGCAATAATAATTTGAAGTGATAATGTGTTAAAAAAAAAATGAGCCTGAAATCTTGTCTGAGGCTCATTTTTGGTGGGAGACGTCACAGTGTGGATTAGCACTGAACTCTCCAACTTATTCATGCCCTGGGTTCTTAATGTGTACGGGACCCGATCTTTTATTAGAGACACTGGAAATCATCAGAAACACACGAGCCAAAGAAACAGCCAAGAGATGGTGCGGATGTCGTCAGTATGTCAGAGACAGGCAGTCTCAAGGAACTCTGGACACAGTGAACAGCTGTCAGCCTCTCAATCCACAAGGCTCCGGACAGTGAGTCCATGGAGGCAAGAAGAGAAAGGGCCACTCCGTGAACATGAACAAGGGCCAATGGCTGGTCCACACCAAGAGGGCGAAGGGTCTAAATGCAGCCCTGTGTGGTCGTAGAGTTCTGGAATGTTCTTACTTACAGACCAAGATCCTAGAATAGAAGGTTTCCAGGGCAACCCCTGTACTTCTCACCTCTGCTCTTGCTTCTGGTCCCAGGCTGGGAGTCCAGCTCAGTCGTGTATTACAGACAAATCGCTGGATTGTTCTTGACCTCTTTGAGTATTAACTGTGCAGGGCAGTAATACAAGTTTCCAAGTGCCTTGTCCCACACCTCCAACAGTAAGTTTCCCACTCGCTCACTCATATTTTTAATTTGGCCATCAGATATTTACAGAGAGTCTGTGTATACCAGGTACTGTTCTTTTTTCTTTTTTCAGATTTATTTTATTTATTTGAAAGGCAGAGTGGCAGGGAAGGAGAAACAGAAAGGGAGAAGGAGAGAGGGAGAGGGGGAGAAAGGGAGAGGGGCTGGTGCTGTGGCTTAGAAGGTAGAACCGCTATATGCGCGTCGGTTTGAGTCCCGGCTGCTTCACTTCTGACCAGCTCTCTGCTATGGACTGAGAAAGCAGTGGAAGATGACCTACATTGTTGGGCCCCTGTGCTCATGTGGGAGACCTGGAAGTTGCTCCTGAATCCTGGCTTTAGATCGGCGCAGCTCCGGCCGTTGCAGTCATTTGGGGAGTGAACCAGTGGATGGAAGAGTTTCTCTCTCTTTGCCTCTCTGTAACTCTGCCTTTTAAATAAATAAAGAAATCTTTAAAGAGAAAGAGAGAATCTTCCACCTGCTGGTTCACTCCCCAAATGGCCCCATGGTTGGGGTGGGCCAGGTCGACACCAGGAACCTAGAGTTCCATCCGGGTCTCCCACATGGATGGCAGGGGCCCAAGTACTTGGGCCACCTTTGCTGCCTTCCCAGACACATCAGCAGGGAGATGGGTCAAAAGCAGAGCAGCAGGACTCCAACCGCCACTAGGATATGGGATGTTGGCATCACAAGAGGAGCTTAACCCGCTGCACACCACATTGGCCCCAGCAGGCACTGTTCCGAGTGCTAGGAATGCAGTGCTGAGTGCAACAGAGCAGCCCTGCCTTCTGGAGTTTAGGGGCCAGTGGGGGCGATGGAGGTTAATCAGCCTCCAAACGCAAAGGGAAATTCACAAGATAATGTTAATCAAGTGTACTAGGGACCTGGAGTTCTGCTAAATGGGAATCCTCCTCCCCACCCTGGATGCAGTTCCCGGTCACACCAACCACAAGCAAAGAACCTGGCGCTCCGTCCAGCGGCAGCACACGCAAAAAGCCCATGCATTTGACTACTTTTTCATATCTCCCTTGGCAACCTATGGATCTCATTTCTCTCTTTTTTTCCCCCCCAGTTTCTGCCGTTTCCCCTTCAAGGTTTGGATTTGGGCTTGTGAAGGCTCTGCCTTTTCACGTGTAACTCACTGGGCTTGGGCAACTTGTTACTGGCAAGTTTGAACATTGCGAAGCAACAACGATTTGTTAAAGGATGCCTCCAAATGAGATTGCTACCTACGCCTAAGTCAAAACAAGATTCTGCCCAGACAAGTCCAACTGCTCCGCGCTATTAATACAGCAATGGCGCCCCCTGATGACCATTGCTGTGTATTACATGTCTCTGCATGGGTGTTTTGGATGTAGTGGAGGACCTCTGTTCCAGGGTTTGGTTAAGTCAAAAGCCTGCCTTAGTATAAATTACCTCGGACCCCCATCCCCCAACCCCACCCCACCCACCCCACTTAGATGAGTTCCAGAGGAGCAAGGAATTAAGCTTTGAGCTGAAGACCAGCAATGAACAAGGCACGGCCCCTCGTCTAAAGCTCCCACTCTGGCAGAAGAGACACGCGGCCAGACTATAGCTTATTCCCTCTCAGTCAGAATAACTGCAAAAATGCCTCAGGCTCTGAGGACATAAATCAGGGAGCAAGATCTGATTAGGTCTGGGGTCAAGAAAGCTTCCTTGTAGGACAGGGTAAAGCGTAGCATGTCAGAAACGACAAGCAGCTGGTCATGTTGGAGAAGTTTGGAGGAGAATGAGTGTGGGGCAAGGCAGCCTGAACCGGGTTTCTCCTGGGCTAGAGATGAATGGTCAGGGTGCAGACGGCTAACAAAGACCTTGGGTCATTTCAAAGCCGGGCAGCCATAGAGAGAAACTGGCCTTAACTCAACCATTAAGTGTCACTGCGTCACAAAAGCAGCGGCATGACCCAACACCAGAACATCTATGTGGAGGGTCATGTTCCACGTTCTTGGGTAGTAAGTGTTGGAGTGGGGATCTTGGCTCTCTCGCTTGGGCTATGTCTTCGCAGGAGCCAGAAATACTGCAGAATTTAGGATGTGCCTCCCCTCCATTGCTTAGGTCAGATGACAAATAACAATAGCAGGTGTAATTGCAGGAGCAGGGAGCAGGATTGGAGTTAATAATGGGCACAAGGCTAAAGGGAAGGGAGGAGAGTGGTGGCAGCTTCCCATAGTGAACCGTGGCTGATTAAAAAAATCAATACACAAAGCCTTAGCTATGGCGCAATGCCCGCTACCTCTCAGGATGCGGTATACCTTAGGTGAAATACACAGGACTTGGATTCGGGAAACCTGGATTGAAATCCTGCTCTTCCACTGGCTGGGTAACGAGCAGTCCTGTGCCTCCTTTTGTTTCTGCAGCTGTAAAAAAAAGGCGGAAATAGGAGGGCCTGTTATTTGATGGCCGAGTCGGCTATGGTTATCGACAATATTTAATATTTGAGAGGAAATTCACACATATGTAAGAAAATGAAGGGAGGCTTTTTTCTTTACATTTCTGTTATTTTACTACTTTCTAAAACCGGCGAGCACCGAAATTGAAATCAGAAAGGGAAAAAAAACACCCTACATTTTTAAAAATATTGTTATTAGGACTAACCAGCTGTTCTCCGCCCCCCCTTCACACTGTTCAAGGCGGACGTAGCAGCGCGTGATTCCAAAGCCCCGACCCAGAAGTGCTGAATCAAAGCCTTTAAGGGATAAACCTGTAACCCACACTTTTAATCAGCTCTACAGCTGATTCCTATAATCAGGCACTGTTGATAAGCTCTGATTTAGCTGGAAGGCTGCCAAGACCGGGCGGGGAAGGCCAGTCAGGTGGCCGCAATGCTGACGACCTGAGCCTACAATTCCCACATGGCCCCGCGAACTCGCGACTGCAGCCAGGAGCCTGCCGGGAGTTGTAGTTCTCCTCGACAAACTTTCTGCCTATAAGAATGGCGGGGATGGCTGCAGAAAACCACCTGCCCCACAATGCAAAGGGAAAGGGTGACGCCATCGGGAGCGCGCCGGGACCGCCGCGGGCGGTTTCTGCAGCCTCCACCTCCGTCTCCGCAGCTTCGGAACCTGCCTGCTCTGCCGTTGCCCTTGCCACCGCCACCGCCACAGCCACCGCTATTACCACCTCCGCCGCTGCCTCCTTGGCGCCGCCCTCCTCCGCGTCTGCCTCCAACTCCACTCACTTCACGCCCTCTGTCGCGTGTTTGGCATCCTCCGCGGGCCTTGGGCGCAGGCATGGCGGACAGCGGCGGCGGCGGGGGAACGGGCGCGGTGGGCGGCGGCGGAGCAGGCCAGGCCTCTACCGGGGCCGCGACGGGTGCGTCGGGGGCCGGCGGGAGCGGCGGCCCCATCAACCCGGCCTCGTTGCCTCCCGGGGACCCGCAGCTCATCGCCCTCATTGTGGAGCAGCTCAAGAGCCGAGGTCTGTTTGACAGCTTCCGCCGGGACTGCCTGGCCGACGTGGACACCAAGGTAGCTGAAGCCGCCCGGGCCGCGGGGAGTGGGGGCTGGGCGTGAGGCCGTGGAGGTTGCAGCTTGGATTGTCCAGAAGCAAGAGCAAAACAAAAGAGAGCTTTAAAAATCTCAGCAGTGAGCTGCCGCGCCACTTGGGGCAGTGCAGAGGTCTCTCTGTGCTGCACACGTGGGGTCGGCTCGCAGCAGGGCGCTTGCCAGCCGTGATTTGTTTTAGAGCAGTCGCTTCTCTGAACCTGGGGGTTCAGTACAGACTTTGGAACCTACACCCTGGTTTCCCCAAGACGGAGCAGCTTTAGGCCCCTCAAGAACAAACCAAAGCCAGGAAGCTGTGCCAGAATACTTAGGCTGCCTCCCCAGTCTCTGCTCAGGGGGCTTGAGTGCGCTGTCATGGCCCTTGTCGCCAGCTCAGTGACGTGTAGGCTTTAGTGCGCAGGTGAATTAAGGTTCGCTGTTAATGGAAACAGCACCCTTATCTGCTGCTACATCATGGAATGAAGTTAAAGATGGGTGCCTGTTGTAGATCCTAGTGCCAGCGGCCGGTCGCCCGGGAAGATGCCACCACACTTCTACGTGGATTCAGTGAAGTATTGTGGTGTCGTACAGTCCTTGAAGGAGTGTTCGTCGTCTCCCTTTTCAGTTTCTCCCGCTGGCGCCGCAGCTCACTAGGCTAATCCTCCGCCTTGCGGCGCCGGCACCCCCGGGTTCTAGTCCTGGTCGGGGCGCCGGATTCTGTCCCGGTTGCCCCTCTTCCAGGCCAGCTCTCTGCTGTGGCCCGGGCTTCTGGAAAGCACGATTTCTCCTCTGAGCTTGCCTACCTCACAGCAACATTGTGAGCTTAATGGATGTTTAAAGATAGGGAAAGACCTGACGAGTATTGTCCTCTAGTGCATTAGGCTCTGAGGATGCGGGACAGGTGAGTCCCTGCGGGAAAGCAGACCCTGAGCCAGCAGGCCAGTATCTAGTCAGGGTCCTGTTGGCCTCCTCCCAGGCAAAAACCCCCAACAGGAGTGGGAGCAGTGCAACACGATGTCTAAGGGTCTCATACACTAACAGAGCGTCCACCTGTCTCTGGACTCCTGAGTTCTCCTCTGTTCTCCACTCATGTTCTGATCCATGAGGTTCTGAGGGGCGGAGTGTGTGCACGTGATGGTAGAGCCTGGGGAATCTGGTTCTCGGAGCCTTCCGCTTGCCCCCCCCCCCCAAGCTGTTGCTAGTTACCCTAGTTACCCCTAGTTACCCCTAGCTAGTTACCCTAGTTACCTTTTGCTAATGCTTTTCCTTCTGAAGATAGTCTGTTTGCAGGCCGAGCTTAGCTGAGACCTTGGCCAGCGTCAGGCCAGTGGTTCTTAACGTGTGTTCCTTGGATCGGCAGCGTCGGCATCACCTGGGAACTCGTTAGGCCAATTCTAGAGTCCTCAGGGGAAAGAAGAGAGAACAGGTCGCTTATTTGCTTTGCAGTGCGTCCAAAGCAAGCTGATTGAGTAGAGGGAAGGATACACAGGACAGTAAAGTAGTTCCTTGGACTTCTGGAACAGACGGGATTATTCTGTATTGTCCAGTGGTGATGTTCACTGCCCTTTGCCCTTTCTCAGCAAATAATTCGGTTCAAACCCATTGAGTTATTTTTAGAAGTAGAAGGTGTGGTACCAGGATGAGTCTAGTGCTAACTCCTCAGCAAAGGGCCGTTTCTGATGTCTCCTGAAGCCCCAGGGAGGAGTGCATGATGGGACTGCTGTGGTTAAGGGCTGCGTTGGCACTGCCGCTGGCTGCCGCCGGCTGAGTCTCAGGCCTGTTCTCTGCGCCTCTTTGACTGCAGGGTGGAGTCGTCCGTCTGCTCGCCACTGCCTCATGGCTGCCTTTTACGGCTTTTACTTCTAGAAAGGGACCCTCAGCGCTGATTCAAAAACACCTCAGGGCAGGTCTGCCTTGTGTTAGCTTGGCTCCGGTGTCCACCCCTGTGGCCAGAACATGGCACCTGCTGCCCAACCTTGTGAGATGGAGAACACAGCAGGAAAAAGAGTTGCCAGGCAGATAGTAGGTGGAAATACTGTATTTTTCCTTCACTTATAATAGATGGTTCCAACGGATGTAGTATTGCTGGCTATAAGAGAGAGAGAGAGACAGAGAGAAAGGTCTTCCTTTGCCGTTGGTTCACCCTCCAATGGCCGCCGCGGCCGGCGCACCGCACTGATCCGATGGCAGGAGCCAGGAGCCAGGTGCTTATCCTGGTCTCCCATGGGGTGCAGGGCCCAAGCACCTGGGCCATCCTCCACTGCACTCCCGGGCCACAGCAGAGGGCTGGCCTGGAAGAGGGGCAACCGGGACAGAATCTGGCGCCCCGACCGGGACTAGAACCCGGTGTGCCGGCGCCGCTAGGCGGAGGATTAGCCTAGTGAGCCGCGGCGCCGGCCTCACCCATCTTCTTGCCTTCCTCTCTCCAGATGTAGTGGAGAGAGAGAGAAAGAGCGAGTGCGCACTCTCTCGGCCTTTCGGAAGAGTCCACTCAGAGTCAAGGCCTGCTGGTTCCTTTGTCGGTCTCATGTTCCCGTTAGCAAACTCTGCCACAGTAATGCAGACAGGCTCTTAACAGCAAGCATTTGCTCTCACGCTGACAGGGCGGCGGGTCAGCCAAAGTTCAGCTCATCTAGATGGGCTTCAGCTGGGGGGCCCAGCTGCCTGCTCTAGGTTCCCCGGGCCTGGGTCCAGGCTGTCGGTGGGGTTAGGCCTGCTGTGCACATGTGCCCATCCTGGGCCTCCAGCCCATAGGGACAGGACCTCCTGCCAGCACCCTCTGCTTGAGGGTCACTGGTGCACAAGAGCCAAGCCAGATAACACAGCTGGCCAGAGTAGGTCACGTCTTAAACCAGCATGGCGGCGGTGGGGGGAGCGAGGAGGGGCGTGCTATGTGGCAGGCCACCTCCGACAGCTGTTCTGGGGAGGAGCAAGGAATAGTGCCAGGGGGCCCTGGAGCTCAGTGTGTGCATTCCTTGTGTTTACCCGGTCAGTTTCTAATCTTGGTCTCCTTATCCTGCATGGATCTAGAACACTTGAGACCGGCCAGGACCTCCTGAGCTCTTTGGAGCTTACATGTTGCTTCACCACAGTCTTTCACGGTGGCCCACGTGCTTGGACTTCAGCAAGTTACTTAATTTCTCAGCCTAGAATTCTAATCTCACTCTGGTGGGTAGCAGGAGCTACCCCGTGCCTTCCGTCGTAGAGTTACTTGAAAAGTAAAGGGGATACTGTGAGGGTACTTCTGAAAGGTCATGGAAAAATGAAGCCAAAAGGTAAGTTTGTTTTGGTACCCCCTGAAAATAACTGAAACCTGTGTATACTTAGGCACACATCGGGCCCACCCGCCGTCAGGGAGGTCCATGTGTTAGCCGTGAGCTCGGCTCGCGGCTGCGGTGCCGAGGGGTGATCTTCATTGTCACAGTGGGAGCGTTTACACTTGGAAATGACCGATTCTATGAGAGGCAGCGCTCCCCGTGACTGAGTTCCAGAACCCTGGTCCCTGTACCTTCTGACCTCATCCCCTCTTCTTCACATTGTAGCCAGCCTACCAAAACCTGAGGCAGAAAGTGGATAACTTCGTGTCCACGCATCTGGATAAGCAAGAGTGGAATCCTACAATGAACAAGAACCAGTTGCGGAATGGCCTGAGGCAGAGCGTGGTTCAGTAAGTAAGCAGAGTCCCCGCTGCCCGGGCAGCGGCCACAAGGAGCTCGTGGAAGTCGCTCTGGCCAGGGTCGCTCGTGCTGGATGTCCCATAACGCCACAGGCATGCGCAGTCTCCTGCTTCATGGATGTTAGGGTTAAAGTAGGCAAAGCGTTTACCTGAAACTCGTGCTGGTTTATCCGGCCCACGAAGGCCTCTGCTGGGAGCCTCAAGTTCTTTAAGTTGGATGACGGGGTTCTTGCTTTGTGAAGTCTTCAATGTATGCTAACATATCTGAGTTTTATGAGTGTCAGCGTCTGGGTCTTGGGCAAGAGGAGCTGTAACTTCAGGCTCACAAGTGGACGTGAGTTCTGTATAAAGTCTCTGGACTAGCCTCGGTCCTCCTTAGAGGGTACTAGCAGCCAGCAATGAACTGAACTCGGCAAAGGAAGGCACGGTGGTTAGCTCATCCGCGTGACTTTCTGGTGTCACAAGGCATAAAAGGAGGTTGGTTCTGGAACCCGCTGCCCCGAGGTCAGTCTTTTCTCATCTCAGAATCCTTAGCTCTCGGCACCAGCACTTATGTTCGGGGCTTCTTGAGGCACTGAACTCCTGGAATATTTAAAAGATTGTGAAGCCTTTCTCTTTAAAAATAGGATTATCAGGGAACCATGCCGAATGAAGAAAGCCGGTGTCTAAAGGATGCACAGTGTGTGACCCCGTTTGTCGTGTTCATGAGCTGATAGAGCTGGAGAGCTAGGTGTGGGTTGCCGGTGGGCAGGGAGGGGAGCGGGGCGTGGCATGAGGGAGACCACAGGACGACCTTGCGATGGCGCCGTCTGGTACAGTTAGGTGTCCTAATTGTGCTGGTGCTTCCAGGAGACAACTCGTGGGATACAGCTGAGCTAGGGTTTGGGTGGCTCAGCTCCCAAAAGTTCATGTGCTGGAAGTTTCATCCCTACTGTGTAAATGTTGAGGCGATGGAAACTTTAAGAGGTGAGGGTCTTGGGGCCGGCACTGTTGAGTAGCAGGTAAAGCCTGCAGTGCCGGCATCCCATATGGGTTCGAGTCCTGGCTGCTCCACTTCCTATCCAATTCCCTGCTAATATGCCTGGGAAAGCAATGGAAGATGGCCCAAGTACTTGGGCCCCTGCTCCTGCATGGGAAACCCGAGAGATGCTCCTGGCTCCTGGCTTTGGATAGGTCCAGCTCTGGCCATTGCGGCCATTTGGGGAGTGAACCAGCAGATGGAAGATGTCTCTCTCTCTGCCTCTCTGCCTCTCTGTAACTCTGCCTCCTTTCAAATAAGTAAATATCTTTTTTTTGAAAAAGTGAGGGTCTCATGGGACTGGATCAGTTCCCGGGAGATTGGGTCGTTAGAGCGTGAGTTCTTGGACCTCTCTTGCCTTGTGAGCTCGCTGGCTCTCATGCCCACTCCCCCTTCTGCTTCTCTGCCGTGTTGTAATGCAGCCAGGATGGGGAGACACCCATTAGTGGGGCGTGACTGGCATTCCAACGAGGTCTGCATTGTACCAGTGTCGTTCTCCTGGGCTTGGCTGTTGTACTGTAGTTACAGTTATACATTGGGACTGGCCAGGTGGAAGGTATGTGGCCCTCCTATACATTTCTTTGTAACTTCCTGTGAAGCTACCAGTGATTTCAAAATTAAAAGTGTCTAAAAATAAATATTAGTAACAAACTAGCACCTTCAAGATGGCTTGTGGCTGCTGAAATCAGTCTTTTACAATCTTAAATAAAACTAACAGTTGTCTGAGAATTAGGGAAGCAACATGACAGCAAAGGCTGCCCTGGCCTTGGCATTCAGGAGTGATTCCTGCTGTTTTGCCCCTTCTCCAGGGAGCAGCCTGGTGGCCCAGGGATCTCACAGCAAGGAGGAGGGTAGCTGCCCCTTACAGAGCAAGTGGTTATTACACATCTGGCACTACCCTTACACGTGTCATCTCTAATCCTCACGGAAAGCCTACTGAAGCATTGTTGGGTTTTGTAAACTTGTTTACCCTAGCTTCTGAGGGATTGGCCAAGACAATAAGAGAATAAATCAGAATATGTATATCTTGAAGTATGTGGGAAGCTGCTTAGAGATACAGAGACTGTCAACATTGCTGTTACTTTCCACAGTGAGCATTTTTTGAGGCCATTCTCAGAGTCTTTGTGCAACCTTTTAACAGACTTTTAGCAGGAAATGACATACAGAAAGTAGTGGTTAAGATGTCCCTTGGGGGCCGGCGCCGTGGCTCACTAGGCTAATCCTCCACCTGCGGTGCCGGCACACCGGGTTCTAGTCCCGGTCAGGACACCGGATTCTGTCCCGGTTGTCCCTCTTCCAGGCCAGCTCTCTGCTATGGCCCAGGAATGCAGTGGAGGATGGCCCAAGTCCGTGGGCCCTGCACCTGCATGGGAGACCAGGAGGAGCACCTGGCTCTGGCTTTGGATCAGCGCGGCGCGGCGGCCATTGAAGGGTGAACCAACGGCAAAGGAAGACCTTTCTCTCTGTCTCTCTCACTGTCCACTCTGCCTGTCAGAAAAAAATGATGCTACTTTGGACGCCTGCATACCTTACTGAGTGCATAGGTTTGTCACCCATCTCTGCTTCTGATCCAGCTTCCTGCGGATGCACACCCTGGGGGAGCAGCAACAATCTCTCAAGTAGTTGGCTCCTTGCTGCCCATGTGGGAGACCCGAATTGAGGTCCAGGTTCCTCACTTTAGACTGGCCCAGCCTCAACTGTTGCAGGCGTTTGAAAGATAAACCAGTGAATGAGATATCTGTCTGTGTGTCTCTCTGCCTTCCAAATCTTTTCTAAAAATTGGATAGAATGAAAGTACCGTAGAACAGGTCACTAGAACACACCTCTGATCACCACCAGGCTGGGGAGCGGGATGTTTCTGGACGTTCCAGAACGCCCTGGCCCCAGACAGAGCTTTCTCCTCTGGGGAGTCGATCCCTTCCTTGCTTTTCCTTCTGCGTGGACCAGCTGAGTGGATTGTTCTGCTTTTTTTTTTTGACTTAGGATATTTTGCCTGAAGACAAATATTTGGCTTTAATGCCAGGACGATTCTCCATGATTCTTGCTGACGCTTGCATTTGAGCCAAAATCTAGCAGAGTTTCAAGATGCAGATTTGGTCCTTCTAGAATACCCACCCCACACACCAAGGTGCAACCCCACAGGTCTCAGCCTGGCTGTCCAGGCTCAGGGGCTATAGCCCAGGTCTGTGGTATGGAGGGCTCAGGAAGTCAGCCTCTGCTGATGACCAGAAATCTTTTTTTTTTTTTTTTTTTTTTTTTGACAGGCAGAGTGGACAGTGAGAGAGAGAGACAGAGAGAAAGGTCTTCCTTTTGCTGTTGGTTCACCTTCCAATGGCCGCCGTGGCCGGCGCGCTGCGCCTATCCAAAGGCAGGAGCCAGGTGCTTCTCCTGGTCTCCCATGTGGGTGCAGGGCCCAAGCACTTAGACCATCCTCCACTGCACTCCCGGGCCACAGCAGAGAGCTGGCCTGAAGAGGGGCAACCGGGACAGATTCTGGTGCCCCGACCGGGACTAGAACCCAGTATGCAGATGCCGCAAGGTGGAGGATTAGCCTATTGAGCTGCGGTGCCGGCTGCAGATGACCATTATTCTAACGAGTCTTCCAACTGCATAGTTGTTCACCTTGTCTTATGTTGTAGGCCCCTGACGAGATCTCGTATTCCCCAAGTGCAGTGAGCTGACGCTCTCCTGGTACTTTGCTTTCCTTCATCAGGTGTCTTGGTCTGCCAGGGCTGCTTCAGCCAAGTGCCATAGACTGGCTGGCTTAGCAAAAACATGAGAATTTTACTTCCCATAGTCCACACTGGAGCGTTGACATGGGGGGACTCAGACACGGGCCCCGGGCTGCGCAGTGCCACAGTCTAGCTCTTCTCACACAGCAGGAAAGCACTCGGCAGCTTTGGGCTCCCTTTTGTGAGGGCGTGAGTTGCACTCGTGAGGTCTCCACCCTCGTGACCTCATCACCTCCAAAACGCCCCTACTCCAGATAGCGCCATCACGCTGGACGTTAGATTCCGACATGGTGGGGGTGGGGGGTTCAGTCTGTAACACCAGGCCTTTGCATCCAGTAAAGGCCCAGTGGATCTGTGTCAGGAGATGGTGCCGCTGGAAGGATGCGTGACTGAGGGGAGGTGACTGCTTTCTGTCCGGCACTCAGCCTGACGCTGACGGTGGTGCTCATCTTTAACAGCAAATACTGTCTAATGCGTGGTCCCTCTAGAGGCATGCCCCTCGTAATGGTGCTGTGTTTACGTTTAGACTTCCTGCCGATTAGCCGTTAGCTACCACAGATTCCAGGAAGCACTTGACACGCTCTCGGCCGTCTCGGTTCAGGGCCTGTTTCTCATCTTCCTTGTCATGGTGCGCATTCTCACATTTGTTGCCATTCCTGTGCCCTGACACCATTTGCCCGCTTGCCGCAGGACCCAGTCTTACCCAGGCAAAGGCTTGGCCGGCCTGAGAACTCGCAGACTGAAGCAAGCGGAGTAAAACCTGTCCGCGTGCCCAGGCTGGTATTTCAGTGTTGGAACCCTTTGAGAGACCGCTTCAGTCTGAGCCTTCGTGGGCTGTCCCGGGCTCTCTGAATGTGATCCGTTCCCTGTCACCAGGCTTCCTCGTTACCTTGCCCCACGTGTTTGAATGCAGGGACCAGTAAATTCTCAAAAGGATTTGGGGATGTAGGCAGGTTCTTAAAAAAATACCAAAAATGGAATTTAAAATAGGATTTTATCAGTTTTGAAATCCATGGTATAGTTTTCTCATATATGTGTTCAGACTATGAAGAAATTCTTCACCAAAATAAACCCATTTTTAATTCCATTTTCCGTGAACTTTTCCAAATGCCGTTGGATTTTAGCCCTACGGAGCTTCAAACCAGTCTGTTTCCTTGCTTGCTTCTAGGTTGCCTTTGTAGGTAGTACCCACAGCCGAAGGCTATGCTGAACTGCTGGCGTAACCACTCTCATTCCTGATTCGTCTTGTATGGGGTTCTTTAAAAGGTTTGTGGAAAGTGGAATTAAGATGTCTATCTTGGTGCAAAAAAACTTTGAAATCCACACATGGGGTTGTCAAAAAGTTCCTGGAAAGTACGTGTTTTGAAAAAATTATGCACGGGTTTCACATTTTTTGCACTGAAGTAAACTCTTCATTGCATTTTCCCAGAGGTGCTGAGCTCCCCTCATGATCTGAGGCCCAGTAAGCAGAGTGCTGCTGGGGGCTGCTGCTGGTTGGCTGCTGAGAGAATAAGTGTTGAAGGAAATGGAGCCGAGTCGCGGGCTCGCTGCCTTCAGCAGGGCCGTACAGGGTTCCTGCTCTGTCCGCGTCTGCAGGGTCTTTCCTGCGTGTCATCACTCGTTCTCGCTCATTGGGCAGTCCACTTAGCTTGGTTTGGTTCTTCGTATGAAGTTGAGGTGCAGTGGATGAGATTGTCAGGTTGTGAATTGCCCCAGACGGGAAAATAAAATGGTTGGAACTCCATGTGGCAAGTGACTTAGGCATTGAAAGAACTCCCTAGGAGGGCATTCACTGGGGGCCCGCCTGTCGCTTGTTGGGACAGAAGGTGAGCCTGAAAGGGAGGAAGTAATGGAGTGATCTGTTTGTCTCCACAGGTCAGGGATGTTGGAAGCTGGGGTAGACAGGATTATTTCTCAGGTGGTGGATCCAAAACTAAACCACATCTTCAGACCCCAGATTGAACGAGCGATACATGAGTTCTTGGCGGCCCAGAAGAAAGAAGCGGTGCCGGCGCCCCCTCCAGAGCCTGAGAGCCAGGAGCCTCCAGCTCCAAACCAGGATGCCTCCTAAGGTCTGCTACCCTGTCTTGTCGGGAGCATTGGTCCCCGGCGCACACATGTGGGAAACGGATAGGAAAGGGAGGAGCCGGAGCTGGGGATCAGATTTTATATCTGCTCAGAGAAGCTTTTCCAGTGGGTAGACTGTGCCTCCTGGGAGCTGCATTTTCACTGAGGACCAACGGACAGCGTCTCCCTGCGTTGGGGAGTGTGGTCTTTTTGTGCCGCCAGAGCTGCTTCATTAGAAGCCAGCTGGGGCGTTGGGTGGTGTGCAGCAGGGAAAGTTAAATGTTTCTCGAAGTCGCCTCAGCGAGTCCCTGTTCCGGACGTTAGTTTATGTAGGTTTGCAAACGTAACATAACATGAAGCAGTGCGTTCTGAGAGGGGGCTGAGAGCCCCTCTGGGCTCTTCTGAGTAGGACTTGAGTTTCCCACTATCATTTCCCATGGGGGACTTGTTATAAGCACCCCTTTTGTTATTAAATTTGGAATTAATATTGAAAATCAGCTGTAGACGCACAAATGCATGCTTTTTGCAGGCATTCGAAGCCATGAGTAAATACGACCAGCGAGATCAATGGTTGGCAACCACTGGGGTCTGCCTTGTCCCCTCATTCTACTGGTTAGCAGGAGGTTGGAGTAAGAACTGGAACCACAAATTGAACTCAGGCACTCCAGTATGCAGTGTCCTAACTCTGCACCCAGTACCTGCTCCTATTGGTGTTCTTTTTAAGACATGTTTTTATTAAGAAATCAGGTGTGTGAGTTGCATTGACTGGGGCATTCTGAATATAGCAAGTACCAGGCAAGAGCACTGGCCTGAGAGGGGCCCTCACTTGGAGGATTGTCTTCGTGCAACTCTACTAGGAGAAAACCTGGAGTCCACGGCGGAGTGTAAACCATTTTGTTTTTCTAGTTTAATTATAAATTCCTTTAGGAACATGCAGTTAGGTAAATGGTCTTACCAAAAAGTGGCATTTTGATAGTTGTCTTTTCTCTTATAGAATGTGCCTGACACCTTTTGAAAACTCCATTTAATTCTGGTGAAGGAGTGGATTCAGTTACGTAAAAGAACAACTTCCAAATGGAGATGGGCCACACTCACCACTGATCTCCGGATTTCAGCCTTGACTGGGGCAGCGTCCGGATGGAAGAGGGAGCTGTCGGGCAGTCGGGGAGTTGACTGTGTGCCCCTGCATTGTGCTGCCACTGGCCTGGCTGTACACGACTCTGACACACAGGAGACACTACAGAGATGCAGAGAAACACTACAGCAACCTCAGTTGCCCTGAAGCAAACTCACATACTTGAACATGGAGACTGCGTGGCTTTTAGGGTTTGCACTCTGGGATACACAAAAGCTACAGTGAGTGAATATGTCTCAAAGATAACGTCAAAGGCTAATGGCAGTGCAGGTTACCTGGGAGCAGGTATTTGGTGGTGCTTACTTGGTGTCTGAGTTGCAAACTAGAATGCACAAATCATTAGCACCAAATAGCTTTAAAGTTATCGTGACGTGTCAGTCTTCTAGCCAGTTTCCTTTGCCTATACAAGATGACAACGTGGAATCCTGGAATGTGTGCAGAAGCCCAGACGGGGTGGGGGAACCGGTTGCAAGCTCCGCCCAGGGCATCTTCCTGGCCTACAGGGCCTGGTGTGTCTTGGGTGTTTATCTTATTCTCACAGTTGTTTTTTAGAAAACTGAATGATCCATAAGTGGTACAAGTTTTATAATAAAATCATTTGCTACTTTAACTCTGAAGTTTCAATGGAACCTTGGGCCCCTGGTGTCTGCAGGTGAACCTTTTTCCCCTTCTGTTAACCATTTCTATGCACAACACACGGTTTAGCAGCGGTGAAGGGTTGGTGGGTGTAATTTGGAATTACTCTCCCTGGAGCTGGTATGTGTGGCCAGAAGGCAATAGGCAGTTCCTTTCCTCCCCTGAATCGTAACCAACGCTGGCCTTTGTGGAGGGCAGTACTTTAAGTCAGTGTTTCTTGAACTTGGATGTGCAGGAGTACCACCTGGGCGGCTGGGGGAATGCACATTCTGACTCGGGCTCTGGAGGGAGAGCTTGTGTTTCTGACAAGCTCCAGCTGATGCTGCTGCGCCCGGGAACCCGCTTTGTTTTGTAAGCCTTGGATAAGGTCAAAGATTACTTCAGTCCTTGGTGGTTGGGGTTGGTTTGTTTGGTTTTTTTTTTTTTGTTTTTTTTGTTTGTTTTTGACAGGCAGAGTGGACAGTGAGAGAGAGACAGAAAGGTCTTCCTTTGCCATTGGTTCACCCTCCAATGGCTGCTGCGGCCAGCGCACCGCGCTGATCCAATGGCAGGAGCCAGGTGCTTCTCCTGGTCTACCATGGGGTGCAGGGCCCAAGCACTTGGGCCATCCTCCACTGCCTTTCCTGGCCACAGCAGAGAGCTGGCCTGGAAGAGGGGCAACTGGGACAGAATCCGGTGCCCCGACTGGGACTAGAACCTGGTGTGCCAGCGCTGCTAGGTGGAGGATTAGCCTAGTGAGCCACGGCGCCGGCCCAGTCCTTGGTTGTTAATTGAGTCCACTGGAGGACATTGCTAACCTCCGAAGTGGTGACTGATACGGTGCCCTTCCTGTTCGAAGGGTTGTTCCACTTCTGCCTTTACCTGAATAACTCTCAGTCAGGGCTGCCCTGCAGCACGATGCTTTGGGCAGCATGTCCCCTCGCTTGAGGCTGGCCACGCACTGAGGAAGCTGGCAGTTGGATCTGAAGCATGGTCTGTTCCCGCCACCAGGTGGGTGCAGGTCCACTTCTGGCTGCAGTGGGTTGTTCTCCTTCTCCAGTCTCAGAACTCTACTGCCATTTCTAACACCTGCAGAAGGGCCCATTAGACTGACAGGTGAGCGTGGGGTGGCCACACTTCCTAGTGCCGTTTGCGGAGAAGCTTCTCACACTAACTGGAGTGTCTTTGAGACCACGGATCCTTGATGGGAAGGAGGACCACCTCCCCCACCTCAGCGTTGCTGACCCTCCTCTCCTGCCCACCCAACACTGACCTCAGTTTGGCAGCTAACAGGGCAGAGCTGACAGAGCTTCATCCTCCTTTGCCTCTAAATGCTCAGTTGACTGTGTCAGGTATATTTTGGCAGGCAGTTTGGGGTCCGCATCAGTTCTCTTCCACTACTCAAGAAGGCTGGACCATTTGTTAAAGTGCCCGAGTTTCTATTTTTTTACATTGTATTATACCTGCTGAGTCGCCTAGGCAAGTAATGACTTGATTTAAAAATGGAACAGAACATTATCCGATTGGAGAAGCAGCTGTAGGCACATCACTGCTGTTGGACAGAAGGCTGACTTGGGCTCCTGGCTGAAACAGATCCAAAGCCCCCTGGGTAAAGACTTGGGCTCCTGGCTGAACTAGATCCAAAGCCCCCTGGGTAAATACTCAGTCTGGCGGGTATAGGAGGGCAAGGCCAGACAGCAGCACCAGAAGAAGGGTTGGGGAGAAAGCCAGCCTCTTGACTTCTGCTTAGAAGCCAGGTCACCAGCTAGGTTGCATCCTAGACACAGTCCTCACTCTGGGTATTGTGTGAGCCATGCAGAACCTAGAAATGTCATGTTCTTTTTATTTTATTTTTGAAAGGGTTACAGAGCGAGGGCAAGGTGGGGGGAGAGCGTCCATCCTCTGGTTCCCTCCCCACATGGCTGCCACGGCCAGTGCTGCCAAAGCCAGGAGCTTCTTGTGGGTCTCCCACAGGGGTGGCAGGGGCCCAATCACTGGGGCCATCTTCTGCTTTTCCCAGGCCATTAGCCGGGACTCAAAATGGCAGCCTGCTATGCTACAACACTGGCCCCATCCTGTTTGTTCTGGCCTAAAGCAGAAACCCCCAAGGAAGATGAGACCACCAGAAATACTTCACCCCTTAGATGTCCTTGCTCTATTGATTCCTAGACAAGAAGTTTCATTGTTGCTGATTGTAAGCCAGTTAGGCTCGTCTGCTGCAGTTGGAAAATCCACTGCCTTTTGCAAAATCCCTGGTGCAGCCCAGAGCTTACCTCCGGAGGACATAAACTTCACCAGCATTGGAAAACCATTGAGACCTCAGAGTTACATTCAGGGATCCTCACTGAGGAAGTCCTACCCTCTTTTGAGGTGAGGCCTGGAGGGTGTTCTGATTTTGAAATCCAGTTCTTTGCCCCAGCAGCATCTGCGGTTGCTACTGGAGACTCTTGTCCTTGGCTTGTTCCTCGTTACCAGTTTAGGAGTAAATGCTTGATGGCCAACCTGCCGTCTCAACCCCAGGCCTCGTTGACTTTTCCTGTGTGGTGGCTCTTTGAAAGCATTTCTTAATTTATTCAAGAGAGAGAACTCATATCTACTAGTTTACTCCAAGTGCCCACAACAGCTGAGGTTGGACTGGTCTAAAATTTGGGAGCCAGGAAGTCCTTCCAGGTCTCTCACATGGGTGGCACGTGCCCAAATACTTGAGCTGTTCCTACTACGTCTCAGGGTCCACATTAGGAGGAGTCTGGAGTCAGGAGCCAGAGCCAGGATCAAGCCTAGTTACTCTGATGGTAGGATGTGGACGTATTAACCAGGTGTCCTAGTTACAAGGCCAACCATGTGCTCCCCTTCCCCCCCAGTCCTTGTTCTTTTAAATCTTGGCTTTCAGTAGGTTTGTGCCTCTTATAGCAAGGTTTCAGGAGTTATTTTATTTTGCTGTTATTTTGCCTTAGCCTCTATTAAATGTGTGGCAGGGTGGAGGTGCCTGTGCATTCTGTGTCACTAGCACTGTGAATGGAATCCGTCTTCATGGATGATTATAACAGTGGTTCCAAACGTAGAATCCCTGACAGGATTGCCGTGGAACTTGTTAGAAATGTGGTCCTCACTCAGAGGCTTGGGGAGAGCCCCAATAAGCCCTCAAGGTTGTCCTGAAGGCCACTAAAAGTAATTTTCATCTTAGGAATCCTTTTTGAAAGACGATGATGTTGACTGCTAATGACAGTTTAATTGCAGTTAGTAGGTGCACAAGGGTCTGTGCTAATGGCCTTTGAAAGGAGAAACTAATTTTTGTCCTGTAGTTCCTTGCAAGGAATGCATTTGGACATTTTGAATTAGAAATGCTTGTGTGTAACTTTTTAGATTATTTGAGTTACACAGAGAGAGGAGAGGCAGAAAGAGAGATCTTCCATCCAATGGTTCACTCCCCAATTGGCCGTAATGGCCAGAGCCAGGAGCTTCGTCCAGGTCTCCCACACAGGTGCAGGGGCCCAGGCACTTGGGCCATCTTCTACTGCTTTCCCAGGCCATAGCGGAGAGCTGGATCGGAAGTGGAGCTGCTGGGACTCGAACCAGCACCTGTATGGGATACCAGCACTGCAGATGGCTGCTTCACCTGCTACACCACAGCACCAGCCCCATCTTGTGTTTAACTTAAACCTAAGCTTTCAAAAGCTCTAAGCAAAGCAGCCTTCTGAGGATAAGTTTGCTAATGCAGCTCAGAACCTGGCCTGGAACCTGCAGAAGGTGTTCATTGGCTATTCAAGACCCAGGTGAGACGCCTGTGGGGACCCAGCAAAGGTCAGGGCCTGACATGTGTCTGAGGCTGGCACTGAGGGTAGGCTTTTTAAATTGTGTCTGGATGAGCACTGGCGAAGGGCCCAGGCTCTGCCTTCTTTGGCTGCCCTGAGGATTCCCAGAACAGGGTAGAGAAGCAGACAGGAGAGATGGCACAGCCAAGCTTTCTTTGGCACCGCGTGTTGCCCCCTGTCCATCACCTTACCTGTGCAGGAGCCAGGAGGGCCACTTTTATGGTCTTGTTCCCAGAGACGGGCTTGGCTTCGAGGCCACATGGTAATAATCACCTCTCGATCAGTCTCTCTGCCTGCGACCTGGCCACTCGGACTCCGGGCTCCAGACTGCCTGTGGCCCTGTTTCCTGAATCGCTGCTTTCATCAGATGTTTTCCTCATGAAGCTTTTAAAGAAGTGAACGTGGTGCCTGCCACACGGCAGACGTTGTCTTGACCCTGGTGTTAACGTGTCTTCTCCATTTTTGGTATGAGGAAACCAGGACTCAGAAGTAAAGCAGCCTGTTCATTATACATCTGCAGAGTTGAGAATTGTGAATCCGAAGCCCTTGCTTCTCTCTACCTCTCCTCCTCTGCCTCCTTAATACTTTAAAAGTTCAAACTTGTCAGTATGTTGGGATCTGGCCTTCATTCCGAATCTACACCAAAATCAAATCAATTGAACTTCCTTCTCTATCTCAACACACTCCCATTGTTCCCACCAGGCTTTGCTCTCCTCAACTGGAACTAGACAGGCTGGCCTGCTCTGGCCCTGTAGCCACGTCCATCAGCCGCGGAGTTGTGATCGTTTTGTTTTCATTTAATTAGCAATATTTTGAACTGGGGGAATTTTTATGTAGATCCATGTAGCTATAGTTCTGGCTCCTAATGAAAAAGGGGCAAGGATGGGCCACACTTGCCTTGGATCCCTGCTGGGGAACAACTAGCAGAAGTAGCATCCTGCTACTTGAGATAGCACGTGGGCCACGCAAATGCCCCTGGCTGGCTTAATTCCCATGACCCTGCTGGCCCTTGTAGACGCTTGGGTCCAAGATACTTGCCCCAGAGTGTCATTGTCCTGTGATTACTGGCAGTTGTTCCAAACAATCTCTTCAGCCACAGGGCCAGATCTGCCAGACTTTGATTGCATAGCTACAATGACTAAGGTGGCTGCAGTGGCATAGGTTTGGTTCTGGAACCTTTTGG